AGCTTCTACAGGGCCTTCTTTCCTGGAGGGAGAACGGCAGTTGCTCCGGCATTGCCACTCGCCGAACTCACGGGGGAGATGGACTGAACTGAAGGGAACTCTGAATAAGGTAAGGTCCTGGGATCTGACCCTAGGCAGGCCCATCTACAGGTGGAAGGAGAGATTGGATCTCCATTTGGAGACAGCAGATTTCCTGAGTCAGGGTAGGAATGTGATAATCTGAGTGAGTGTGTGAGTGCATGGGGAGCTCAAGGGCCCACCCTTGAACCTCCATTCTGTGGCTCCATGGTGCAAACTGGAGTCCAAGAGGGCCTGAGCCTGCGTGTCTGTGGCGACCTCATAAGGCTTATGGCAGTATTGAGCTAAGTGCGAGCTGAGCTCGATCTGAGTTGGGGGATTATACTGACCTGCTGATGCTAAGAGGCACCTAAGTTCCTGCAAGGGATGTGACCAGGTGGGAAACCAAGTGGTCCTTCATGGGATACCCCCTCCTTTGTCTATCTTGTGCCAATGGTCAGAAAGGGACACACATCATGGGGAAAAGTCAGTCTAAGCCCACGGTCCTAAACTGTATGGTCAAAAACTTCAGGAAGGGCTTTTCTGAAAATTATGGGGTCAGAATGACCCCAGGAAAGCTAAAGATCCTCTGCAGATCAGAGTGGCTGGTTCTTAGCATTGGCTGGTGACCAGAGGGCACCCTGGACCTCTCTACAGGCTGTTTGGAAGGCTGTGACCAGCAACCCCAGCCACCCGGACCAGATCCCATATATTGACTCCTGGTTGGAGACAGCTCAGACCCTTCCCCTTGGGTTCAATTCTGCACTGGAAAAAAGTGACAGTTTAAGGTCCTCATGGCCCAAGCAACTAAGGGACCCAAGGAACCAATTCATCAGGGTGACCCCAAGGAGGAGCTGTCACTGCTTTATGTCCTTCTGGCACCATCAGCCCCCAGCCCACCAGCCTTGCCTGACACACCCCCCACACAAAGAGGGGAGATCTGAGCACCCTCCCTTGTGGCTAGATCACTGTGCATACTGCAAAGAGGTGGGACATTGGAAGAACGAGTGCCCCAAACAGATGGTCCTGGGTGGGGCACCCCCCACCAAGGGAGGGCAGAATACCAGCCAGAACCTAGCCAGGCCCACCTGATTGCCTTGTCCAGGATGAACTCAGACTAGGATGGGCCAACCTCTGTGAAACTTGGCCCCTGAGAGCCCATGTCAGGATGAAGGTCTGGGGCCAGCCAATGACTTTTATAGTAGACACTGGAGCAGAGTACTCATGATCACCACTCTGGTTGCCCCATTTAGCAACTGAAAGGCAACTGTTGTGGGAGCAACAGACAACCAAGTAGAGCCCCGGCCATTCTGCCAAGATCGGATATGCCAATTAGGAGGGCACCAGGTATGCCATGAGTTCCTCTACCTACTGAAATGTCCTGTTCCCCTTTTGGGAAGAGACTTGTTAAGGGCACAAATTGCTTTTAAACCAGGGGAGCCAGCCAGTCTGACTGTGAGTGAGCCAAAATGGGGCCTGGTCCAGGCAGTCACACTTCCACGTGAGGAAGAATGAAAACTGCACACTGCCGAGAGGTCAGAGGAAATCCCACCAGAATTCCTGGACTCCTTCCCTGCAGTCTGGGCAGAGATGAAGCCCCTAGGGATGGCTAAGGCCCAAATATGCAGACGACAGGTGAGATACCTGGGGTTCATCAGCACCAAAGGACACCGGTCCTTGGGACCAGAGAGAAAAAGGGTGATTTGCTCCACGCCCACTCCCAATACCAAGTGGAAGCTCAGGGAGTTTCTCGGGGTGGCAGGCTTCTGCCGAATATGGATTCTTGACTATGGACCCCTTGAGGGGGGTGGTAGCCAAGACATGGCTTTCTGGGAAATCAAGGCACTGCTCCAAAGTGCCCCAACACTAGGACTTCCAGATGTCACCTGAGAATTCAATCTATTCATTCAGGATAGAAAGAAGATAGCACTTGGGGTCCTCACCCAGACCATTGGGCCTTGGCAGAGACCAGTAACATATCTGTCTAAACAGTTGGATGCAGTAGCATCGGAATGACCCCCTTGTCTCTGAGCCTTAGCTGCCACAGTTATTCTGATGAAGGAAGCTGACAAGCTAACCTTGGGCCAGACTGTCCATATCAAAGTGCCTCACTCAGTGTCCACCCTTATGAGCAGTCAGGGGCACCAGTGGCTCTCAAATGTTTGTTTAACCCACTACCAAGGGCTGCTCTACGAAAACCCACAGGTCACCAGAGACAGTGGCCTCAACCCAGCCACATTTCTACCCACAGAGGAGGGGACCCTAGACCAAGACTGTGAGGAGGTGGTAGATGAAATCTTTACTAGTCTGCCAGACCTGAAGGACTGTCCCCTCCCAAAGGCAGACTTAAACCTGTTCACTGATGGAACCAGCTGTGTCCAAAACAGGAAGAGGTATGCAGGGTATGCAGTCACCACTGCCACTGAAGTGGTCGAGGCAGCCCCTTTGCCCAGCAGCTGGTCAGCACAATGGGCAGAAGTACATGCCCTCATTCAGGCCCTGTGCCATGCAGAAGGTAAAGTGGCCAATATTCACACTGACTCCAAGTTCGCCTTTGCAACTGTCCACATACATGGGGTGATATACAAGGAGAAAGGGCTGCTAACAGTAGGAGGAAAAGAAATCAAAAATAAGGAAGAAATTCTCAGACTGCTAGAAGGAGTTTGGAAGCCCAAAGAGGTAGCTGTCGTGCATTGCAAGGGCCACCAAAGAGGAACTGATCTTATCTCTATAGGAAACCGTCTGGCTGACAGAGAAGCTAAGGCAGCCGCACTGCAGAAAGAACCTGTACGGGCCCCCGCCCACTTATTCAGTCACCCCTTGGCTCCAAGAGGATATGGGAAAGCCAGAGTGCTCTAAGGAAGAAAACCAGTGGGCACAGCAGGAGGGGGAAAGCAGAGTGCTGGGGGATGGTGGCTACTCCCTGACCACAGACCGATAGTGCCCAGGAACTTGGCTCACACCATCGTTACTCAGGACCATGGTCTCACTACCTAGGTAAAACTGCTCTGGAGACCTTACTCCACAGCTATTACTATATTGCAACCCTCCCTAAACTCTGCTGCAGTAAGCAATCAGTGCCTTACCTGTGCTAAAAGCAACCCCCCCACAGTGACTGAAACGCCCCAGGGGTGCAACAGGTGGGGGTCTACCCCTTTGAGGACATAGAGGTGGACTTCACTGAAATTAAGCCCAGTAAAGGGTACAGATGCCTACAGGTCCTTGTATGTACGTACTCAGGCTGGGCTGAGGCACTGCCAACTAAGATGGAAAGAGCCCGAGAAGTAGTGGAAGTCCTATTTTGTGAAATTGTTCCCTGATATGGGATTCCACCATACACAGTGACAGTGGGCCAGCATTCACCATACACAGTGACAATGGGCCAGCATTTGTGGCAGAAATCATCCAAGCCCTCACCAGTGTGCTCAAGATTAAGTGGAAACTTCATACAGCCTACAGGCCACAAAGTTCAGGGAAAGTGGAGCACATGAATCCAACCCTGAAGGTTACACTAGCAAAGCTCTGTCAGGAAACCCAGGCTTCCTGGGTAGATATAATTCCCCTAGCCCTGTTGCAATCATGGTGTACAGCAGGACCCGTGGGCTACTCACCCTTTGAAATCCTATTCGGGAGCACTGCCACCGCTCCCCCCCCGCCCTGTTAACAAAGTAACATTAGACCTGAGACAGCTAGGGGAAACAAGCATGACATCCCAGCTGCAGGCACTGGGAAAAGTGCTGTCCCCGGTCAGTCAGTTTGTAACAGAAAGAGCACCTCTCCCTAGCTAATCCAGTACATCCCTTCCAACTTGGGGACCAGGTCTAGGTGAAAGATTGGAAAAAGGAACCCCTCCAATCTGTTTGGACAGGGCCCCATGCCGTAATCCTTGTCATCCAAACTGTTCTGCAAGTTACAGGAGTCGTTCTGTGGGTACACTATTCCAGAGCAGAGAGGGCCCACCCGGACACATCGCTGGACAGGTGGTCTGTGCGCCCAGACCCTCGGCATCCCATGAAAATCATGCTCCAGCAAGATGTGGTCTGAAATCTTAATACTTGGACAGCATTTGTTGTTCTACTGTTGTGCTGACATTATTGTCTTCCCTTGAGGGATATTCTTTGTCCATTTCTGGTGTAAAATGTCACTTCCTGTTTTGCTATTAATAATCTTGGCCCTTGCCTAATTAACATACTCTGGCAGTTTCCTGAAGTCATGGTAATTAGAAAACCAAGTGCTCAGTTACTAGCCCTCTGCGAGTATAAGCCGCTAAGTACAGACACCAGGGTGTAAAAGGGGATGCTCCCTAATAACCATAAGAGAGCATCAAAGTGGGGGATGAAGTGGAAATTTTGCCCAGGATTTTGTCAGCACGTAGTCAGCAGCCATCCCTATTTTAAAACTGCCCCTATTTTTGTTAGTAACTGCCTCTTTCTGCTTCTGTACCTCAGCTTATTGCTTACTAACTGGAAAGCCTTAAGGGAAACTGCCACTTCGTCTAAAACCTGCTGCGTTGTCTAAAGTCCCGAGTTACTTCCGCTGCCCCTTTACCTATAAAAACTGTGTGCTTTTCTTAGCTGGGGTCCAGACTTCTGGGTGTGAACCCTTCTGGGCCTGCTGGTGTAATAAAGTGTGTTCCTCTGATCCCCTGAGTGCCACTTGGGTTTCTTGTTGGGTAAGATTTTCCAGAACATCCGTACTTTTTGCCAAAGTGCCTGTACTAATTTATATTCTCACCACTAGCAGTGTAAAAGTGTTCTCTTTTCACCATATCTATGCCAACGTCTACTATTTTTTGACTTTTTAATTATGCCCATTCTTGCAGGAGTAAGGTGGTTTCTCATGGTCGACCCCACATTTATTTAGCAAACCTGTATTAGGCAGTGACTATGCATCAGGCTCTCCTAGGCCTCAGTGAGTGAAACACCAAAGATTCCACAACAGGATTGAAAGAACTGCTAAATGCAGGCTACTGTAATTAGTGTGGGAAAACTGCTTCCAGGAGGATGCAATGTCTAAACAGAGACCTGGATGAGGAACCCAGTTAATCCAGGTGAATGGCAGGAAAGATCTTCTAGGGAATCAGTATCACAAACACAGGCTCAGAAGAAAGAGCACACAGGGAGTCTGGGGAACTGTTAGCAGTTCATGGTGAAGATGAGAGAAAGGAGCACAGGGGCAGAAAGCAAGGTTGGAGCAGTGAGCAGGTTCAATGGCTGAAGTTCGTGGGCTTCGGGAGAACCTTGGCTTTTATCCCAAGGACAAGGTGCAGCTTTGGCAGCAATGAAGTCAGGAAGAACCTTGATCAGATCTGCATTCCAGAAGAATCACTCTGAGTGAGAAAAGAAATAAAGACAAAGACACAAGAGTAGAATTTTACAGCATGAGTCCAGGGGTCCAACACACTCTCCAGTGGGGTGATCCGCACAGGTGATCCACATTGACATTGAGCTCTGAGCTTCCTGTGCTTTTATTGGGTGCATGATCTTGTTAATCTTGCAGGCTTTGGGGAGGGGGGCTGAGAAGGAAGATAGCCTGAGGAAGAGCACTTGTCTGCAGCATTCAATAGCAAATGTGGTTCTCCTAAGAAATGCTAACTAAGGACCCTGAGACTTTACCACCCATTATCTATCCAGGTGCTTTGGCAAAAGAGGTGTAGTCAATAAGGTGCCGTAGGGTCTGCCCAAACACATATGCATCAAGGGGCTTTTATTTCCAGAGTGTTGTGGACACAGAGCAATTAGAATTGCTCCTTATTTTGAGAACATAGGCAGAGCCTGTGGTGTTCCAGTGATCTCTACCCTGCAAGACCTTCAGGCTTCACAAGCATCCATCTGCAAAGACCCTCCTGAGTCTAGTGAGTAAAGGTTGTATTTCTTCCCAGAGTCTTCTGCATAAGCCCTCTTTATGAGACCCTCATGCAAACTCTATGTTGGGAAGAGATGTGGGACCAAAGCAGTTTTTCCTTCTCTGCAACCACACAGCAGTGTTCTGCAGTCATAGGGCGCTCTCAGATGGTCTTTATTATAGGCCTCCTGTTATGGCTTGAGCTCTGCTTTTATTTTACTGCACCGCAGTTTGGATTTGATCTGTGGACCACAGGTCTGCCCTTGGCCATCTCTTTCTGTAAGAAAGGACACTGGCCAGGCACGGTGGCTCATGCCTATAATCCCAGCACTTTGGGAGGCCAAGGCAGGTGGATCATGAGGTCAAGAGATCAAGACCATCCTGGTCAACATGGTGAAACCCCATCTCTACTAAAATGCAAATATTACCTGAGCATGGTGACACATGCCTGTAGTCCCAGCTACTCAGGAGGCTGAGGCAGGAGAATTGCTTGAATCCAGGAGGTGGAGGTTGCGGTAAGCCGAGATCGCGCCATTGCACTCCAGCCTGGGTAACAAGAGTGAAACTCCATCTTAAAAAAAAAAAAAGAAAAAGAAAGGACCCTGAGTGATCAACATCCAGTGTTTCACACCTGGAAAATGAGGTGGAAAAGGAGAAAGGGCCCCATGTGAACAGCACCCCACCTGGAAAAATGACATAAAACAAGGGAATTCAGCCCATGACATGAGAGGTTGTTGGGTTCACATATTATTGAGTGATCAGGGAGGAGTTTAGATGAGTTCACCTCTACAAACAGGTATTGAGTGCCAGGTATGGTGTCATCAATGACAGAAGGAAATCAAAGATATATGTTTTATATCTTTGTGACCAACATGTCTGCTCCTGCTTCAGAACGATGCCAATCCCCGACTTTCCAGGATTCCCACTAATTTTGTCTACTGCCCATGTGGGAAGTGAGCTGAGGCTTGTCAAGAGGATTTTAGCTTATATGGTCCAAAAAATAGAAAGATTTCTTTAGAAAACACCAATTCCCTAATTAAATTGACTAGTTAATCCATACAAGAGAAATAAACCACTAAAAAATAAACTGAGTGAAAGAAAACAAATAATTACTAGAAGTAAGTTTGTGGGCATCTGCATGGAAACAAGCCTGAAGAAATAGTGAGAGCGGATTTGCCTGACAGTATGACACTCGACTGCTTCTTCCAAATATTCAAAATAATTATTTTGGAATAAGACTAACTAGCAGAGATATCTTACAAGACAGTTCATACTGGACATGTATTCAAAAGGGTGTCTCTCTGAACTGACCCACTAATTTATTTATAAATCAAACCCCCTAACCTTCCTCCTCCCTGGCCCACTTTTTTTTAAATAAAGTAATATGATTTCAGCTGGGCACAGTGGCTCATGACTTGTAATCCCAGCACTTGGGAAGCCAAGGGGGGTGTCGATCACTTGAGGTCAGGAGTTCGACCAGCCTGGACAACATGTGAAACCCTGTCTCTACCAAAAATACACAAGTTGGCCTGGTGTGGTGGTGCACACCTGTTATCCCAGCTAGTCAGGAGGCTGAGGCACGAGAATCACTTGAGCCCAGGAGGTGGAGGGTGCAGTGAGCCTAGATTGCACCACTGCACTCTAGCCTGGGAGACAGAGTGAGACCCTGCCACAAAAAAAAGAAGAAAAAAAAAAGTAATACAATTTGGATTTGGGTATTAAAAAAAAAATTCCTCTGAAGACCCAAAGTTTCTGAGAAATACTTACCGAAACAGGACGCATCACACTTGTGCAGTATAAAGCTTTCAAGAGCTTGCCCTTGATTTTAGCTCTTTTAGGTTAAACATTCCCATGACTTTTCTATTCAGCTAACAAGTGAACTTATTCCCTTACTCGATACAATTCCTACCTACACATTGGGACAAAGCCTCAAAGCCCAAAGGAGAGAGCCAATTGGCCCTAAAAATGCCTTGTGCACTCTGATGCCAAGGTGCCAAGAGTATGAAGCGACAGACCAGCCATAAGAGATAGCCGCCTAGACTTTTGTCTTTGAAGGCTGCCAAAATCGGGTCCCTTCTCTCGGGAGTATCTCCCTCCCAAACTTCACTTGAGACTCTCATCATTACAACTGTCAGCTGCAAAATGTTTGCAGTTGCTCTCCACTTGTGCATTAGCATAAAGCAGCTTGCTTTATTGGGTTAATTCAAAAGAGTTATCAAGGACTTACTGTGCGGCTGTAGGCACTAGAAGGACAGTAAAGAACAAATGATAAAAATCTGTCTTCCTGAAACTTACATTCTGGTAGAGGAGACTTTCAAGAAACAAGCTAAAGAAACAAAATATGCAGTACACTAAACAATACATGCTCAAGAGAAGAGAAAATGAAGCAGGCAAGGGGAATACACACTGTGGTGGGCTGGGTAGGAAAGGTTAGAATTTTAAGATTAAGTGGTCACACATAATCAGGCAGAGAGTATGTGCCTAAAGGGGTAGCCAGGGCAAAATCAGATGGAGTAAGAGAAAGGTGGTTAGCATATTTTAATAAGCCCTGAAGTGGAGAGGAAACCCTACAGGAAGGGGGACAAAGATTGAATATAGACCCCTGAAGACAAACGCAGATTTCACATTTTGCCAAGACCTGTCCTTTGAGTTGAGGATAGCACAACAGATGTTCTCCCTTCGTAGCCAAAGAACCAGGCTCTGCTGCTAAAACTCTCAGGCAGTTCATCGGACCGAGGGAACACACACACACACACACACACACACACACACACACCCACCCACCCCACCCACCCCCCCACCCCCGCTTAATGCCGAGAGGAAGCGGTACTAATCCAGAGTGGAGGACTGGCCTGGGAAACCCGGCAGAGAGAGGAGTTGTCCTAAAGAACACACCAGAAGCCCCTCCAACCCCAGACACTGATAAAACCCAGCCTCCTCCCAAGCCAATCTGTAAACCCAGGACGCACCATCGAGCGCACAGACACATCCCCGGGGTGCAGGGAGGAGAGGGGCCGGAGCTTAACCGTTAGGGCCCGAACCCCAGGACTCCAGAGGCAGGGTGGGTGCAGCGCGCGAGAAACGCCGTTTTTCGCTCCAGGCGCCGGCGGGCGGTGGCGAGAGCAGGTTCCGGGGGCCGGAGGGTGGGCTGCGGGCGGGAATGGCTCGCGGGCATCCCGGTCGCCAGCCCAGTGCATGCAACAGGGGGCTGAGCGCGAGCGGGTACCTCGAGGTACTGGAGCGGGACCGGGGAGCAGGAACAGGAACAAAGTTCCGGAGACCAGTGGGCCTCGGGCCGACCCGCGCGCCCCCGGCCCAAACGTTCAGCTCCCGCTCCCTAGACCCGCGCGGACCCTGCCCCTCCGAAGGTAGCCGGTTCCAGCGGCGAACCCGCAAAGTCCGCGCAGCCACCCGCTCGGCCCTTTCCCGCCAGGTGCGTGGGTCCAGGAGAGAAAGAAAGCGCGGCGGTGGCGGTGGCGGTGGCGGTGGCGGTGGCGACGCGCAGTCCCACTCACCATGATCCGCAGCGGCTGTGGCGCGGCAACCCAGGCGGGCGGCGATGCACTGTCCAGGGTAGCCAGGTCCCTCTGCCCGGCGCTGTCTCGGCGCCCGCGCCTCCCCGCCCCCTCGGGCTCGCGCCGCCGCCGTGCAGCGCACGGATCCTCGGGGCCGTTTCGTCCCCGCCCCCTCGCCCACAGAGGCCTCGCGGGCCGCCCCGCCTGGAGGGCGCGCGGCGGGAGGGGCTCAGGGCTAGCGAGGCGGCGCCCTCTTTCCCTGCGGCGCCGCGCGCCCCCTCCTAGGCGATCCGCCTCGCTCTCGCGGCTGCGGCGCTCCCTGGCGGCCGGGAGGTGATTTGCAGGCCCAGCCGGCGTCGGTTGCGCGTGGCGGCTCAACGTTCGCGGAACCCCACGAGGACCCACCACCTGCCCGGATGGGCGGCTGCTGCCGCGGGAGGAGTAGCGTGCAGGGCAGGCACGCTGGTCCTGCTTCCAGTTGGGTTTCGTGGGTTTGAAGCACACGTTAGGAGGAAATGGCTCTGTTCGTGCAGTTTTGCGGGGTCTGGTTTTCTTAGGTTTAGGGGATGGAGTGGGTTTCTCTGGGGGTGCGGTGGGGAGCGGATCAGTTTGGATACCGGCCCATGGCAGGAGGCACCGTCCCCCTCCCGGTCCGACCCGGGGCTTCCAGCTGACGCCACCGACGGTGAGCGCACTGTGAACAGAACGGTACACTTCTAGTTACTTTATTTTTGTGTGGGGCCCAAGTGAAAGACGTGGGAAGAATTGGACTTCCCTGAGTATTACATGAACTTTCCTCCATTTCACCCTTAAACTTGGGAAGTTGGTGGCTCCCTTCTGTATCCACAGCATTTCGGGAGACTGAGGCGGGCTGATCACTTGAGGTCAGGAGTTCGGGAGCAGCCTGGGCAACATGGCAAAACCCTATCTCTTAAATCAAAAATACAAAATATTAGCCATATGTGGTGGTGCGCGTGCCTGTGATCCCAGCCACTCGGGAGGCTGAGGTGGGAGGAGCGCCTGAGCCCGGGAGGTCGAGGCTGCTGTGAGCTGAGATCGTGCTACTGCACTCCAGCCTGGGCGACAGAATAAGACCCTGTCTAAAAAAAAGAAAAAAAGAGGTGATTATTGGGGTTGAGAACAGCATGTGTGGATGTGCACGGAGGTACCTGCCCCATGCACTTTGCATCCCACACCTTGGGTGGTGTGGGCGCCCTTGCAGAGTTTTGTGCGGTAGCAGAGTGACATAGGTACCAGGGCTCAATCTTAACTGTGATACAATCACCTAATATATAGTTTCCTAATGGAGAGTTTTTAAATGTTATATAGAAGTTCCCATAGCTGAAGTGGTCAGCGTTATGCACGTTTGTTTATAAAAGGTAGATGACTTTATGACCATGAACAGGTAGATTAACCTGGTCTGATAAAGCCTCGGGAGACAGCTCTGCCACATACTGGGTGTGTGGTATTGGGTTGATTACCTAAACTCTCTGTGCTCCAGTGTCCTGATCTAAAAATTCAGAATAAAATAGCGCTTACATGAC